TTATAAAGCTGCAAATAAGGCAAGATCATTTACAAGGAATATAACAGTATTTTTTACCAGGGCATGGAGTCTAATACACTCATATTCTAAAATGTTTCATCACACTAAGATTAGTTGAGACATTTAAGTGTGATAAAAATTATGATAATAATAATTGCTAAGAAAACTGAAACAAAGGGTGTAGGATAAGAAGTTCATTTGGGAGGAGTTTAATTCCATATAAAAGCTTACATCTTCAGAATTTAAAACAATAAAAAGTGATTTTCAAATCATAATGCACTGATTTCTGGGGAAGACATTTTCAACTGCCTAATATTAAAAAGAGGAGAATGAAGGGGAAAAAAAAGAATAAACACCTTATTCAACATCAAATAAATATCCATGCAGTGAACTGTCAAAAAATATTAACAACACATTCGTGTTTACTTTTAAGGTTGTAATTAGGCACTAATATAAATTAAATGTTAGGTAAAAATTTAGGGGCACAAGATTCGATTAGTGTGAAATAAAGTTATAGCCAGGCTAAATCTCTATGTGGCATTTAAGTTCAAATTTCTTTTTTCAAGTTATTCTGTTATTATATTAAAGCATGTAAAACGATAGTCAGCATAACACCTTCAAATGCTTTTTGTTAATTGGCAACTATGGTGGAACATGAAGCATCATTCTCTCCCAGCAGTTTCATTTTAAACAAATTATTCTCAGATATAAAAATAGCAAATTGCATTAAATTTTACATAAGGCATTTTCAGCTTCTCATATAGGAAGAGCTATAAGCAGCTTCCATGGCAGAAATCACAGCAAACAGCTTTGAATACATTCTCTGGTAAGACACCATTCAGAGATACAAGATACAGCCTACAGCGACTTGATGCTTAAAATATACAAGTAAGGAGTTTTAGGCTAAACAGAAAAAAAAAAAAAAAAAAAGCAAAAATTTGCCAAACTCTTGAGTGGTAAATTCTGATATTCTTTACTGCCTCTAAGTTGAAAAGTAAAGTAGCTTGTTATTTCTCCTCGTTCTGACTTTAAAACACTTACCACAAGATTTTAATTCTAAAACTCTGATTACATGTTCACTACTTTTTTTCATATTTTCCAAACTGAGACAAGGGTGATGGACAGCTTAGCAGCGACGAGAGTCCTATAAACATCATTACTAAAACTTTGCTGTGTTTACACAATTATTAATCTACTTTGGGCATTCTGTTGGTTATGAGCTCTAGTTCAAGGTATAAAGATGCTCCCCCATCTAATCTGTCATGCGTTTACTTTTAAAAAGGAAAAAGTTATGAATGTGTCGGATCCATTTTTTAACATCTACATTTCTAGGTCTTGGCGTATAAATATTGATGGGCAGATTGACTCCATAGTTTAAGTCAGAACGCATGTTAATAGAGGAAGTTTTAAAACGTCAATCCTTCTGTTCCTTTATCTAATGAGTTTCCGAAGGCAGGGAACAATCCTACAAACTGGCAAATTCCCTCTCATCATATATGTGCATTATATAGTCTACAGAGAAATAAAAGATATTATACTAGCCCTGTTATGGAAAATGAACTGTAGAGTTCTGAAACTCGGTATATAAATAAGATCATTTTCTTTTTCTTAAATAAAGCTAATTGGGCCACAAAGGACAGAAAAATCTGAGAGAAATCATATTTACCACAATAATAGTTTCTATAACTCTAAGAAAGTATCTTATGATTTAAATTCTTATATTCTTTATTCAAAGAACTTAAAAAAAACCAACGTAATGCAAATAAAATGTTAAAACTTCAAGACTCCTTGTTCAGCATGAAAAGTGTTTGCTTTTTTTGCTATCTTTTTTGGAGGGAGACGTTAATTAGGAACTTAAATACAACTGGCAAAAATACTTCACTCTTCTCTAGATATGAAAAAGTTATCTGGCCCAAGATAATACCTACAATCAAAACTTTACCAATACAGACATAATGATTTTTTTCCTTTATCATTTTCCATATTCTTACTTAGATGCCTACTGATTTAGAGAGAGAACTACAAACCTGTGAGTTAGTTATGGCTTGTGCCTCAAAGAAATTACATAATATCCAAACACCAAAAACAAAACCAAAACAAAACAAAAACAAAAAACAAAACGAAAGCACTTTTGAATAGGATTTAAATGGTTAATAACTGACTGGGCAAAATACAAAAGTAAATGTGCACTGAGGGAAATGAGGAAAATTGTTTTCAAAACTCAAGAAGACAGCCACAGAATAATCCTTGCTCATTGGTCATTTAACAGATTTTGTGTAATTAATGAACAATTAGATAGTAAAAATATTAGGTACACCTTTATTTTTTTAGTTAATTTCATCTAATTACCTAAAATTATGCCTTTCGCACAGCCGGCATCCAATAAACATTTTTGAATGACTACATCATTCAAAGAAATTAATCTGTAAATAAAGTTTGCCTAATTGTATTTGTCCATCTGACATAAAGAATTAGACTATTTTACATTTCCAGTTAGAGACATGTGCTTCTGAACATCGACACAATTTCATGGGGGTACACACATAAAGCTATATACCACATCTGCAGCATAATCTATAAAAAGCACAGGTTTTACACACATACCTGCTCCCCATTTCACTTCTGCAATATTTAAGTATTGACGAATGACTTCTTGCCAAAGAAGTCACATTATATACAACAAACCTTCAGTTTCAGTAATAAGCTTGCAGTTAACAACTTAGTTTGAAATGTTAACAGTCCTTAGGCTGTTAACATAACAACTGGCTATTAATGTGGTAATGACCAATTTAAGAGGAAATTATACCCTGAGAAATGAATATGCTGGCAACCAGGACCAGGGCTTTTATTCGCACAGGACCAGGGCTTTTATTCGCAAAGAGTATGATTTTTGTTAACAAGTTAACAAACATTAAAAGTTTGAGTCTACCAGAAATCACCTAAGTTATGTCACAAAAAGCAACATCTCTCTTAGAGAAGGATAAACACATCTGATATGAAAACTATTTTGATAAATCCCTTTAAACAAGACACTTACTTGGGACTACCAAATGGCAGTCAAACATGCTACTCTTATTATCATAAGGAAGAATGTAACACAACCTAAGTTTCCTTCTCTGCTTGCTACTGCATTAACAATTGCAAAACAGTTTAACTCACCATACAGGTATTTCACTGGCAATTTCTAAAGATTTAAAGTCCAGCTATTTCAACATACTTTCTGTAAATCTTAGTTAATTTTTCTCTTTATTGCTTACTAGAACACCTTAACCGTGAGCAGACTCATATAAGCTCCTTGTTTTGGATCTGGTGTTACATAAATCCACTTGAGACACTGCGGTTGCCAACAAACGTAAAAGTCAAAAAAACCAAAGTCAAAAAGCTATGACCATTGGTTTGTAAAGATAAAGCAAAACTAGGAAGCACTGTTAAATCACTGAAAGCAAATTCGAATGTTTTATGTGGAAATGAGGCTCTAATTCACGATGAGCAGAGGAAAAATTTTTATTTCAAAGAAAAAGTTCAAAGACTGGAGTTCTAAGAGAATTCACGGACTAAGTTAATTCTGATTAGCTGTGCCACCACACCACAATAAGGGAAATCCTGGCTATGGAGTCACTCCCCACTGTTGGCACCTTGCATGTATTTTATGCCCTTGGAACACAGAGGAGTAGTAACAAGTGGTCATAATTAGCCAGGAGGCTGTCAGCTGAGGGGGGAGGGGAAGGCTGGGATCTGATGAATAGTGCTGGTTTCACCCTTTTAAACTATCACCAATCAAATGATGTATTTTTTATATATAAAGATGAAATCAGGCTAAAAATAACTAAATTATATACTGAGAAGCACCTAATTCCCTAGAAAACACTTCCTAAAAATGACCAAGATGGATAAGGAGTTACGGCTGATTGATAAATTTTGTGTCATAAAAGGAGAAAATTCAAAATAAATCGCTTAATGTCAGACTAGAAAAATGATTAATCGTATCAAATATGAAAACCCGAATGATGCCATATATCATTTCTCTAATTTGATAGGTCCTACTTTATTAATATCTGTAATTTGCAGCTGAATCCAGTCACAAAGTTCCCTGAAAAGCAAAATAATTTTTCTTAAATAGAAGTTCATGCATTGAGTGCTAAGTGCTAGGAAACAAGTAGAGTGGGCTTCATAGTTTTTTTAAGCAAGAATATATGCATTGTCCTAAAACTGTTCAGATGTGCACAGTTTAAAGAGTGGCTTTCATTTCCCCTTAATGATGGAGATCTTTACTGTGTTAATTTCCATAACGCTACTGGCAAGTCTGAGGCTATTAATGCTCCATGATATCTTTGTGATGACCACTTGGAACGCCACTGAGGGCGGGTGGACAGATTCACACTTGGGGAAAGTTGTCAAAACTGCATAAAAAATATGCTAATAAATTCCAGTTAATAATTTCAAACGGAATTTTCTCTGACAAACGAGAAACAGGAAGACTGCTGCACAGTTCTGTGTCAAGCTCAGCCTATCTTGTCGGTATGGTTTAATGAAACACTTATATGCTGATTTCTACCAACCACATCCTTGCCAGGAACTGGTGCTTTTTTTTTTTAAATGTTTTTTTTATTTTATTTCTAGGAGAGAGACAGACAGCGTGAGCAGGGGAGGGTCAGAGAGAGAGGGAGTCACAGACTGAAACAGGCTCCAGGCTCTGAGCTGGCAGTCAGCACAGAGCCCGACGCGGGGCTGGTGCTTTTAATATGGGCGGTGGAATAACGGATCTCTAGCTCTGAGAATCCAGGCAGGCCAAATGGAAACACTTTCGATATTATGTTTTACTGGCCCTTACTTAAGTAAGAATTTGCATAATAGGCACCTGGCAACATTGTGAAGGCTGACAGGTCAACGTCTTTCAGGAATATAGGCTGGTAGTATGGAAATGAGAAACCAAAAAATACACTTACAAACGTATTTTAAAAGGAATCCAGTCATCACTGGTGTGCAAGGATAATTCCTACCTCAGATAGTCTCTGCGACAAAGGATAAGATTAGCTTTAGTGTACAGGGTGGAGCCCACCTCTCCCAAACGACAGTCACAGCAGGCACACTTCAGGCAATCTTCATGCCAGTATTTGTCCAGTGCCTTTAGAAGATACCGGTCCTTGATCTTTCGGTTGCAGCCAGCACAACCTTTCGGCTTGGTGTCTGGCTGGACTGAGAGCATTTGTATACCTAAAGGAAGACAAAAACAAAAAAGAGAGCTGGGACTACAGGAAAGAATCAAAAGATGTCAAAAGACCTCCAACAAGTTTAATATTTAATATCGCTTTTCTCAAGGAGCGTTAGGCTTTCTTTTTTAGGGCCAGACTGAAATCAAACTAAATTTTGGAAACAAAGGGCTCAAACATTATAAAGCCCTTATTAAATCATTTATAAAGTTGCACATAGACAGTGGGAGGAAATACTGCATTCATGTTGGACATAGTATACATTGACATTGACATGATGTTGACATCATATGCACAAAGTTAAGTAACATTAAATAATTTTATAGTGTCCCCATTCTCTACGTAGAGCAGTTCCTTTGGGAAGAAAATGTGAGTAATAGTCTTAAAGAAAGCTATTTAACAAACTAGTCCATGCACCGTCTCTAAGAGTCAAAAATGAGTTTTTCTTTATTGGTTAGAAACTCACTTGATTTGTGCTTGATGGTGGAAGGAGAGTGCACCCTAATGGGATTACACTACCCTGACTTAGCAGTGGGGCCATTTATAGTTAAACACACAGGACAGTCATCCAGAAAGCTCACCAATTCTATACTGCGTGTTTGCATCCAAATACTTCCTTCTGTGCTCTTGCTGTTTGAAACTGTTCTCTAGGTTACAATTTTAAAAACGAATCTGTACTCACAAACATCAGTGAGTGCTTCTATAATGGCAGATTACCTGACTGTATAGGATATGCTGTTATATAAAATGAAAGTACAGGATTAATTTATTACCAGAAACATGCATTTATTTATTTCATAGGGGAGAGAAAAAACAACAGAAGGTAAACTCTAAATATATATAAATTACATAAACATATGTACATAAATATATTATAGATAGGGCACCAGACATAGAGCATTTATTTCTTTTAGAGATATATCTCCATCGTAAATAAGGAGTCCAGCTGGGTTCAGTAGTTTTTGCACTTGACTGAAATGTTTTCAGTGAAAGGCTATTCCCCTTTGGGTTTCTTCTTTCCTAAGTGTCCAACATCTAGCTTAAAAAGAAAAAAAAAAAAAAGGCCGGACCAACTATGAGCTTCATGTTTATCCAATAATTCATTCCAAGTCCTACAAAATACTTGAGGCATCATCGGTTCCTAACTCCCTCATTTTACAAATTATGATACGGAGGCCTAAGACCTAAGAGAGTTTAAGGGCTTGCTCGATGCTGAATGACAGGTAAGCACTAGACTTGGGGGTCTTCTAACAGTCCAGAGATCCCACTACGAGAGTATGCTTCCTCTCCGGCACATAAAGTTTTAAACTCTACAAAACACCAAATGTAGATGCGCTTGAAACAGTTCCGAGAAAAGAAATGCCAAGCCACAGTCTTGGAGTATCTCCCTCCTCCAAAGTAGCTAAACGTTCTTCCGTGTCCTCTGAAGCCTCCCGATGAAGGCGTCACCTCCATTACCTTCACACTCTTTTTTCATTTTTAATCACATTGATAAGAGACATCAAGGCACTGTACCCTCAGAGCTGAATAACTTTTCCAGCTACAAATAAGGCATGGATCGCACATAATATCGTTATGGGGTTGACCTTCCATTACCAAATAAGTTCTCTGGTAGAGTGATGGACTAGGGACTGGCGGGGAAGGAAGCAGGGTGGCTGTTCTTGCTGCATGGGATGCAGAGCGTGGTAGTCGGAGCTACACACTAGCAGCTGGATGTGTACAGAAGAGCAGGTGGTATTCCTACAGCCTGTTCTCTGTTCCCTCTCTTTGAAGGGGCTAAGGGTCTAGTGTAGATTAATCATAACCCTTGATAGCTCTGCTAAATCTCCCTCTCTAGAACTTCGAAGAAATGAAGTTTCTTTGATCAGAACTAGTTACCGTCTTCTAGCAAGCTTCCACGAGGAATAAATCCCATTAATTACAGTACGGAACATATCCAAGTGCCTCTTATCCATATACCTGAGGGGGAGGGGGGAAATTTGGATTTACTAAATGGCATTCTGTATTTCATTATCGAAAACATCGAGAGAGATGACTGGCTATTCGAATTTGCCAATTTATAGGGCTATTTTTTTTTTTTTTTTACATCACCAAGCTGGGGAAAAAAAATTAAATCCCTTTTAGTTGCAGCTACGCTATATTTCCCTTAGTTGAGTTCCTAGCATCAAGCAGAGAAGGTCAGCTATCTTTATTCAAAATGCTTTGCAACCAGGATAGGGAATACCAACATTTGGCACAAGTAACACTACCCTGCTTGTCTTCACAAAATGTTTTCGTTGTGTTGACATTTTAATTTAGCACTCGGAGGCCAATTAATATCTGAAACTCTTACATTCTGTTTGGCCTTGGGCTTGAAGGAGTTTGATATTTTACACTCCATCCTGGTACCTCCTTTTAGAGAACATCATCACCTTTCTCTTGAAAAGGAAATCTTTTCAACACTCTGCAGGTTAACAGTTGTAGAAAAAGAACTATTTAGTAGTCACCACACTGCCATGTACCTAAAAGGCACAAAGCCTCAGCAGCTCCCCTCCCCACCCTGCCCCTCAGCATCCAGGGGAGCACGACTGGGTAGAGTTATGCGTTCCGAGCGGAGAAACATTTCACAAGTTGCTCATAGCACATCAGGACTCATAACTAGTTTTAGATTGGCATGTAAATTGTTCTGAGGGAAATTCTTATTGCCTCTGAGACCCTGCCATTCTGAGTTATTTGACAGTTTAAGGGAAATCATAATTAAAAAAAAAGACATAAATAATAGCCTGTGCAGTGTGGTGTGCAGAAATAAGTAGAACCATTTCATTTAAACTCTGGTGAGCTTTTAATTGCCTGGATTGCATTGTGAGGCGGCCTAACGGTTGATTGCCTCCATTATGTCCCCTTGTTCTGTGCCATTCATCCGCGCGGTCTCAGCTTCAGTAGTTAACACAACAAAGTAACCACAACTCCACAACACACAGGGGTTTAAAAAAAATCATCATAATCAAAGATCTGCAGCACTTAGACACAGTCTTTTATATTTTTGGACTAACTGTACATAGTGAACGGAAAACATTTTGTCCCTGTCGGAAGATTCACAGAGAACAATTTGGGAGAAGGAACAGGAAGAGGGAATACATAAAGGGGGTTGGCAGAGATGAGGTGCCTCAGGAAGATGCTAAAATGGGAATGCAGGTTCCGCAGCTGGGAGCAGTGACACAGATTAAAAGAATTTGGCCAACGTGGCCCTTCGATTGCCAAGAGGTACCAAACAAAAGATTTTCTCTCCTCCTGCCCATCTTCATCCTCTCCCCGGCCCCCAGACCCGACTGGAGAACTGGATTGGGCCTAAAAGCTTGTTTCTCTCTGTTCACTGGCCCAGAGCATCCCTACAGGCTGCAGCCTCCTAAGGGACAACAATGCAAATAGATGTCCCCAGATCTCAGGCGCTGGAGCTGCTTAACTCTGTTCTGCCCCTTCAACTCCCAACCCCCTCCCCATCCTTCCACCACCCCCTCCCCTTTTTGAGCAATGGAGCTGGGAACCAATTTGATTCCCTTTTTCTCCAATGCAGCTGCAAGGCTCAGAGATACTGACATTTTTCCACTCTTATCAGTTTAATTACAGTTACCATGGCAGCAAAGTGCTAGTGCTTGGCAAAGGCCAACAAGAGATTTGCAAGACTGAGTTCAATTTTGATGCAGCTCACATGCAAAAGAAAAATAATAATAATAAAAAAATAAGAAACATCCATACACTCTAACAAAGAATCCCTTGCGGAGTTTAGGCTCTAGCCTTTTGTGGCTGTCTCTTTGCAGCCACACAGGGATGATTTGCAAAGAATGTGGCAGGATTTGTTGCACCTAGCAAGATTAATTGGTTTAAGCAGCAGTCTTTCAAAGCAGTTACGACAATAATATTTCGGATCTTTTAAAAAAGACACAAAGCAGCGCAAGAGCAGGAAAGCTTTCAAGCAGCCGAGAGTGCCGAGCGCCGGCAAAGCGCATCTACGATAGATTGTAACCTTACCAAAACTTTTCTCCTTTTTCTGCATGAGTTGACTTAGGCGTGCCTGAGTTGCAGCAGCTTCGCATGGAGCACCGAGCCCAAGGGAGAAGTGGAAGGGGGTCTCCTGGATTCAGCTCGAGGGTGGACCTGGTGCGCAGCCTACACCGCCGAGGACCGACTATTGTGAAGCCACTTTGGGAGCGGGTCGGAGTGGCGGCAGGGGGTGGGGGAAGGGACGAGGGCGGCCAGACGAGACCGAGCGCACACACAGAGCCCCTCGCCGTGTGGCAGTGTGCAAAATGATGGCGAATGACAAAGCCACATGCTTCTCTAACTCTGCCCGTAATCCTAAAATCCCAGCGGCCCCTTTTCGCTTCGTGGTAACAAATGGATTTGATTAAACTGTCACATGCGGCGTTAGCATAGCATATCATGTTCAATATGAAAAAGATCATAAATCTGACTTGTATTTCCTAACAGCAGTCTGGGCAGCCCCCGTAAGAACGTGCTGCATCAGTTTGCATTGCCACCTATTAGGACATGGGCACCTGGTTCCCAGGAACCTGTCTCTCCCGGCCACTTCCCCCCACCCCACCGCACCCCGGCTCACCCCCAGCCCACCCCCTGCAAATAGTCACTTTTCCATCCCGCCGGAACCACATTTTCTTATCACAGATAAGCGGGGAGAGGCAGAAGTGTCAACAGGACCCGCAAGACAGTGATTTCAACTCTTGGGGGAGGGGGCTGTGCCTTCCAGCCAGTCCGCAGCAGGGGGTCCGGAGCCCACCTAGGACGGACTTCGGCTGCTGCGGGCCAGGCCGGAGCGCACCTCGCCTAATTGCAAACTCTCCCTGCCCCTCTCTTCCCGCGAGGAAGGGGTGTGGAAACGCCGCGGCGCATCCTGAACTTTGCCTATTACCCACTCGAGTCCTACTTGAGCCGGAATTCTCCCTCCTTCCCTCCACGTCTGCCGCCTGCATCTACTTCACGTCTCATCGTAAAAATAATGAAGCCTCA